GCAAATGACGATTATTTGGCACAAAATCAGACATTTTCACACAACCAAAAGTATATAATGCCAAAACAAAATCATTAATGTGTCAAAACGGTTTGTTTACCATATGTCTGAGCTTGGTTCATGACGTTTTGAATATATAAAAATCGACCAGCACTTATTGCTGGAGCCATCTATTGACAAACAGCGAGAACTTAGTTGCGCACCTAATAAATAATTGACTCAAAGAATATGTTAAATAAGATAATGAGAGAAACAAAAAAAACAAAAATATATTAAATGCCTATTATCCTTTATGCTTAACTTGATGTTTAGCCTTCAGTCTTCTTCAATTGGAAGCAAACATAGCTTTCTGACTGGTCGTTTGAAAATTCCGCCCGCAGTCCGCAGCGTCACATCTCGAACCTCTCCATCTGGACCCGGATGGGTCTGCATCACTCGACCAACCTTCCATCGAAAAGAGGGAAGATTATCTTCCTTTATTACAACAAGGTCGTTCTCCTTCAGCTTATTGCAAGTAGTAGTCCATTTAATGCGTTTCTGCAACTCCTGCAAATATTCCATCTGCCAGCATTTCCAGAATTGCTGGCTCAATTTCTGCACTTTCTGCCATCTTGATAGTGGACCCTCAGGAACATCGAAGAAATTAGATTGTACCGGCTGAAGAAGCGAACCTCCTACCAAAAAGTGAGCCGGAGTCAATACCGACAGATCTGATGGATCACTTGAAAGCGGCGTAAGTGGCCGCGAATTAAGCATTACTTCTATTTGTGCTAGAAGGGTGCTGTATTCCTCATATGTTAAGATACGTCCTTCAGTTATTGTATGCAAGTGTCTCTTGGCGCTTTTAACCACTGCCTCCCATAATCCTCCAAATTGAGGCGCTCGCGGTGGAATAAAAGTCCAATCTATGCGTAATTCGGCTAATTCTGCTTTTCTTGTTTCTGCTCCAAAAATGTGTACAACTCTCTCAGATGTCGGGCTGCTCCGACGAAGTTCGTGCCGTTATCCGACATTATCTGCGAGCATAATCCTCTTCTAGAACTGAACCGACGTAAAGCTGCTATGAAGGCCTCCGTCGAGAGATCTGTTACCATCACCAGATGCACTGCCTTTGTGATGTACAAACGAATATGGCAATATATCCTTTCTCGATGTGTATTCTATCCCTGCGTCTGCTTTCTCGTATTTGCAGAGGGCCTGCATAGTCTATGCCTGTTGTGGCGAAGGGGCGATTCGAACCACTGACCCTCACAGCTGGAAGATCGCCCATCTTCACTTCTATCGTTGTTGGGTTAAACCGATAACACTTGATACATCTTCGGGTAATTTTGCGAACTTCTCTTCTTCCGCTAATTGGCCAAAATCGTTGCCTTATATCGTGCAGTAATTGCTCCGGTGGACAATGAAGCAATTTTTCATGTCTATCCCGTAAGATGATACTGGTCACATGGTGCTTTGCAGGTAAAACAATAGGGTTCTTTTGTTCTGCGTTAACCTCTGCATGCCGTAATCTGCCTCCCACACGGATCACCTGTTCTCCGTCTAGAAATGCCGCCAACGATCGCAATTGACTCTTCTGCGGACCACTTGGTCTGCTTTCTGATAAGCAGCGGAATTCTGTTGGAAAGGCCACCTGCTGGACCCATCGAATGATTACCTTTTCCGCTCTTTCCAACTCCATAGGGCTTAGCTGCATTGCTTTCTTGTTTCCTCTGCAGTTGTCTGCAAACCTGTAACAATAAGCTACAATCCTACACAATTTACTGTACGATGAATACTTTGACAGGATATGAGACGTTGAATTCGCCATCAGAATGACATGTACTAATTTCCGCTCCGGAAGGTCTACCTCCGGATTCTTCATGGAAGAAGGCTGCTATTTTCCTTCTCTTAACCATAGCGGTCCATGCCACCACAATGGATCTCTAAGTAAACGATTTGCCGAGACTCCTCTGGATAAGAGGTCTGCTGGATTTTCTTCTGATGAAACATGTGCCCAAACAACCTCTTCTGTAAAACTTTGTATTTTTGAGACTCTGTTGGCTATGAAGGTTTTGAGCGTATGCGGCGGAGTACTTATCCAACCAAGTGTGATTGTGCTGTCGCTCCATAACTTAACCTTATTAATCTTATGAATGCATGATTTCTTTACGGTATTGAACAACCGTGCTAGCAAGAGGGCTGCTTCTAATTCAAGCCTTGGAAGCGAGATGGTTTTTAATGGTGCCACTTTCGTTCTGGCGCAAATTAACTCTGAGTGACTTACTCCTTGCTGATCTACGCTAACTGCGTATAAACACGCTCCGTACGCTGCTTCAGATGCATCACCGAATCCGTAAATATCAAAGGTTGCATCCCTATTGCTGATATTGATATTTCTTGGTATCCGTAAGCTGTTTAATTGATTGAGGGAAGCGCAGTAGTCCTCCCAGAATATTTGCAAGTTAATTGGAAGCGGCTGATCCCAGTTTACCTCTTGACGCCATATCTTTTGTAGGATGATCTTCCCAACTATAAGCACGGGCGCCACCAACCCAAGAGGATCAAACATCTGAGAGATCCTCGATAATACACTTCGCTTGGTGGCTTCTGTAGTTTCTTCTAATTTGACCTGATATTGCAGCGTATCTGTGGTGGCATTCCACAGAAGACCAAATGTCTTAATAGGCTGATTCTTGTCTATAACAAGCAAATTGTCCATTCCACTATCTCTTGCTAAATGACTCAAAATTTCTTGATGATTTGCTCTCCATTTTCGCAGAGGCATCTTTCCATGTAACAGCATCTTTGTTAGCTGCTCTTGCAATATTATCGCGTCTTTTAGTGTCGATGCTCCAGTTAAAACATCGTCCATATAAAAGTCTTGCTCCACCGCTTTTGCTGCTAAAGGAAATTCTTGCTTGTAGATCGCTGCCAATTCTCTAAGGCACCGCATTGCCAAATACGGGGCACAAGCCGTTCCATATGTTAGGGTATTCAGCCTGTAAAGTTGACGTGCTTGTGTGATGTCATGCCGCCAAAGAATCAGTTGTAAGTTCCGATCTTGCTTATCCACCCGAACTTGCCTGAACATTGATACCACATCTGCCGTAAGCACAAACGTGTGCGTCCTAAATCTGATTAGTATCTCTTGTAAATCCGCTTGCAGATTTGGTCCAGTCATCAATTTATCATTTAAGGATAAACCATTTGTTGTTCTTGAAGAAGCGTCAAAGACAACTCGCAACTTTGTTGTCATACTCTCCGGTCGTAAGACTGGTAGATGCGGGATAATGTAATTCTCTTGCGTTAATACCGTGTTTTTATTCTCTATTAAGGACATGTAACCTTGTTGCAAGTATTCCTCCATGAATTCGATGTAGGCCTTTTTTAGTTCGGGATCTCTTTCAAAACGACGTTCTAATGAAGATAACCTTTTGATGGCTTGAGGCATAGAATCTCCCAGCTTAATATGTGAACGAACCGGCAAACGAACTATTAATCTGCCGTCGTCCTTGCGTGCTACCGTGTCGAAGAAAAATTTCTCACACTGCATATCTTCCTTAGAATACGGACCCATCTCTGGAACTTCTTCTTGTATCCAAAATCTTTAGAGCTGATCTTGCAATTGAGCATTCGTGACCACGTTACAACTATTCGATACTTCTGCGGGCTCTTCATTTAATTCCCCACCGATGATTGTTTCTAGACGCGTATTCTGCAATGCCGGTTTTCCTTTATTCTTGTTCTCTGGTGCTTCGGTAATAATTTGCCAGTATATTCCGGCTCCAAGGAGTATGTCAACAGGCCCCGGCTTGTGATATGTCGGATCCGCCAATTTAACATCCTTTGGGATGTGCATCTTCGTTGTATTTATTTCAACCTGAGGTAACAACTCAGTGATTTCCGGTATACAGGGCACTCTACTGTGGTTATGAAGTCGCTGTGAATTGATTTAAGGCGAACGTGAATTATTTTATTGACAGTTGTTACTGTTTTGTTGATCCCGCTAATTGGGCAAACTGTGCTTTTGCATGGCAGTTTCAGCGCTCGAACCAAATTTGATGTAATTAGATTTGACTGCGAACCTGGGTCGAGCAGCGCCCGACAATGCTTCTTCTCTCCATTTGCTCCCGATATGCAAACTTTAGCTGTAGCGAGTATCACTCTGGTGCCTTTGTATCTTGTATAGTAAACATTAGTAGCAACGTCGTCTTCTTTATTTGAGACTTGCTGCTCGCCTGCTGTGCTGGCTTTTATTACCAAATCTTGCTTTACTGCAGCACAGTTCATAATAACTGACGCTGTTGAATCTTCACTTGATGATTTATCTTGAGCCTTTCCTTGCCCTGCGAATTCCTCGTGAATGAGTGAATTGTGCTTCTTCCCGCACTTCTTGCACAATGACGATCTGCAATCGCGCACGTAATGACCTGTTCCTAAACAGTTGATACACAACTTTGTCTCCAGAAGCTTTTTTCTCCGCTCTGCTATCGGTAAGCTGAGAAGGTCGCTACACTTAAATATTGGATGATCTCCTTCGCAGACTTTACATTTGACTGTCGTAGATACTAATGTTACTCTTCTTTCCTTTTTCTTTACCTCTCGATTGACCTGTTTTTCAGTCGTTTTTACTCGATTTTTCTCAAGAACTTTAATAGCGTGACACCGTTCTGTTAGAAAGGTGATGAATTCTGACAACCGAGGCATGTTTTCCTGCGTTCTATTTTTTATAAGATTCTGCCAATCCTTTTGTTCCACGAAGTCCAACTTCTTTTTTGCCATGTGCATCAAAATGGCATCCCATGCATCCACTGGTAAGCCAAGATTCTTCAGGGCCGCTACATGTGTTTGAATATGCCAAATGAATTTGCGCAATGAATCTGATTTATCTTCTTTCGTTATTTCCGGAAGATTTAGCAAATCGTCTAAATGACTCTGCATGATAATCATGCTGTTATCATATGTATCCTTTAGTAATTTCCATGCGTTTTCATAGTTCTCACTTGAGATTTTAAAACCTTCGATAACACTACGAGCTTCTCCCTGCAGCACTCCCACAAGATATTGGTGTTTCTGCACTGCCGTCAAAGTGTTGTCTGCATGAATCGTTGTCTCAAAGCTATCCTTAAAGAATAACCATTTAGTGTAGTCGCCGTTGAATTCCGGCAGCTTGATCTCCGGTAATTTCGGTCGCCTGCGTGTGATCTCGGGTGCTTCGCCCTGAATATCCGCTTGATTGCCTGTTGCGTGTGCTCTAACCTCGTTCTGTCCTTGCGCGATTATCTCTTGCGCCCTGGCTGCTGCCCTGTAATATAATTGTTCGAAAACCATTCTTTCGGGATCGTTTTCCTCGCTCAATATTTCTTCCTCGGAATCGAGTTGTTTTTCCTCAATCATACATTGCACTTTGTCAAATGTACAAAAATACTCCTCTAATTTTTGCAGTCTGACCTGCGCTTCCACCGCTGTGGCGGTTCCAGCTTCTAAAAAATTCGAAATGCGAGTAACTTGTCCTTTTGCTCTAGCTCTACGCTGTTTCAACTTACGGATATCTGTTTCCATTTTACTGCTTGTACTCTATTGTGACGTTTTTGCTAACCTTATCGCCTTGCTGGGACCTCCCAATATCTTTACCGAGACTATATGTTTGATATCTCTGCCGAGATTATGCTTGATATCTCTGCCGAGATTATACTTAATATCTCTGCCGAGATTATGCTTGCTCACGCTTTGAGGTTAACTTGCTTGTGGGATGTCCTCCCGCTGCTACGATGCTATGCTGCTTTACTGACGCCTCGAGCCCCACGTTGGGCGCCAAAATGTTAATAATAACAATGCTTAGGCTCGTTTACTGGTTTTTTATTGCACTCAAGACGAGTAATTACAATCAAGACAATGGTGTGCCAACGAACATTGCTTAATATCGAACTGAACTGAACTCTCACACACTACGCCCTCTCTCGCTCTCTCGATCTATCGATCTGTTACTGCTCTCGATCTGAGCCACTAACTTAACGCGGAAACTTTAATTACAGAAATAAACCTTAACAGATAGTGAATAAATGGCGCGCGCGAAGCGCGCGTTGTTTTGTTCTAGAAAAAATTTAAAAAATAATCGAACAAAATGAGAAAAAAATTTAATTAAAAAGAAAATTTATGTAAAAATTGGCGCTGCCAAATGTTTAAAAATTTTTTAAATGGATTTTAATAATGATTTGGGAGAAAATATATACAAGTAGTACTATTTATAATACTATTAATATTACTACTGTTAAATATAATTTAAAAAATATTTAAAAATAAAGAAAGATAAAGTTGAAATTCCTTTTGGTCAAAAATTCAAAGTTGTAATTTAAATAATAATATACATATACATAAATTAAACGTGTATGTTGTAGCAGTGTAAAAATGACTATTACAAATTTATTGAAATTAAAAACTATATAATTTAATAAATACACTCGACAGCAAAATTAAAGCATCACCCATTCTGATCACTAAAAATAGGCAAATTTCAAGAGAGTGTAACTTCGTCAAAAATGATCGTATCGGAATGATCAAAAAAGCATTTTAAAGCTTAAAGTCTCTACTTTCGACACCCATAATTCATTAAATGACTTACTGATTCTTTACAAAGCTGCACGGATGCAAATGGAGATGCATCAAATCTAAAAAATTTTTTTACCAAGTTTGCGAAG